GAACCAGGGTTAAACACAGGTCTTGAGTGGTGCAGAATAACCCAAAGTGTTTCCATTTAGGACATTAAACAAAAACCTGAAATCCTGCCTGTTGCTTGTATTACATAAAATTTTCTTAATACTTGCAGAACAGGGATTTTAACCTTTCCAAAGCAATCCTGTGTGCAATTCTATTTAATCACCCCTCTACTCTTAATTGGATCTGACACTGTAATTCCTATCCTCTTCTAAATTGTTGGGAATTGTTTCTGTGTGTTGTAAAGTAGCCTCAGTGTTATACTTGCCCGTGAAATGACCTTTATAAGTCTTGTGCAAAGACAATAAAACAACTTAGTAAATGTACTAAATATTACGTGTTGTCAAAGTATAATCAATTTTTCTAATATCAAGTGACAACTTTTAAAATTTATCCTCAAAGCATGGAGAGGAGTTCAAAGACAGAATTTAGTTTGCTTGATTGCTTCACTTATTTACAGGATTACAGTCCTCACTGATTTTCAGTATTCAGACATACTTTGTGAGAAAGGTAATGTAAAAAATGTATACATTTAAGATCAAGAGAGGCTCAAATCACAATTTGGAATTACTTTGTTCTTTTGTGTTGCATAAAGTTTGGATTGTGAGCCATACATTTTTGGGTTAAGCCCTTAGTATAACCAGTAACAGTTTGGAAGAAGTATTGCCTGCTTTGTAGATATAAAGAACTTTAACTTTTACTTAACAGGAGTAATATTCCTAATTTGATGCTCATGTTTGTAGTTCCAGCATTTTTAAACAGCTGGCAGTGGGCAAGAAGCAGACTAACCTACCCCCTGGAACTTATATTCTCTTCAGGCAGAAAAAATCCAAGTCTGTTGACCTTTCAAGATTACCTAGAGGCTTATGAATATACTCAGAACTTTTGATGGTTAAAGAATATAGGATTTTGTCTTTTAGCCTCTCTTGGCATTTGTGAATTCTGAATATTGTGTGCACTCTTTAACAAAATGTTTACCTACTTACACATTTAACAAGAAATATCTCTCATAAATCATGAGAGAAAGCAAATAACCCTCCATGTAACCATAACATGAATGGATTCCAGTCAGTATGTCCCCAGACCAGCATCTTTCAATAAACTTTTTCTCCTAGTTCATCCTTCTAAAACACCAAGGGCATTTTTGTATTTGTTTCCAAATGTTTGTCCCTCCAGACTTCCTTCCGTACCAAAAGCAGGTGTGGTCCCTCTTTATTACATAGTGATGATCACTTATCTCAGTTGATAGGTGAAGAACAAAAAGCATTGCAACTTCTGGTAGATAAACTCATTCAAAGATCAGTCTGAGCCCCATTAGGGGCTAATGGAATGAGAGGAATTTACACTATCCCAAGAATCATCTACCTGGCAGACCACTCAGATACTAAACCTACATATCTAGAGACATTAGACTTAACAATTAGGAACACAGTAAAAAAGATGGTTACACCTTCCCCCAAGTACAGCTGATGCCGTGCTCTACTCCAGTACAAAAGATGGAGGATTAGGTCTAACTCGCCTCGCCGGCCTAATCCCCAGCGTACAAGCAAGAAGTATCCATAGAATCGCACAGTCCTCCGATGAGACCATCCGGGAAATAGTCAGTAATGAGAACATTGAGAAAGAGTTAAAAAACCTGTGGATTGCAGCAGGTGGAGATAAGGAAAAGGTCCTGTCCGTATGGGACCCCGGAACAGTTATAACGGTTGCTAAAGGATTAATACGTGAGGAGGACTCAGAATGGGAGAGACCCACACCAAGGAGAGTCTTTCCAAAACCCTGCAATTGGCATAATCAGGAATTCAAAAATTGGACCAAACTGTTATCCCAGGGCCGAGGCATAGAAAACTTTGAAAAGAACAATATTAGTAACTCTTGGATTGAACATTACAGGGGCATTCCTCACAGAAAGCTAATCACTCCCCTCCAATTAAGAGCAAATGTATACCCTACCCGAGAATTCCTAGCAAGAGGCAGGCAATCGACATATAATAAATCTTGCCGTCATTGTCATGCCAAAAATGAAACCTGCGCCCACATAATTGGCCTATGTCCTATTGTACAAGATGCCAGAATTAAAAGGCACAATAAAATTTGTAATGTATTAATTGAGGAGGGTAAAAAGAAAAATTGGATTGCTTACCAGGAACCATTGATCAGAGATAGCCAAAATGAATTGTATAAACCAGACTTAATATTTCTAAAAGATGACACAGCAGTGGTGGTAGATGTAACAATCAGATATGAAAGTAAAATTGAAACATTGCAGGAAGCTGCATCACAAAAAGTAAATAACTATAAACACTTAAAAGACCAAATTCAAGAACTAACAAATGCATCCAAAATTAAATTTATGGGCTTTCCCCTGGGTTCTCGTGGAAAATGGTACGAAGGCAACTATTCAGTGCTCACAGACATGGGCATTTCCAAATCCAGACAAAAGAGAATTGCGAGGAGATTATGTAATATGGCCCTATTCTCCTCAGTAGACATACTTCATATCTTTGTGAGTAAATCTCACTCAAAATCTGTAAATAGTTAACAATCACACCTTCGGTTCTGTTAAATCACCTCTATTCGGTTCTGTTAAAATCACCTCTATCTTTAAGCACTTTATGTAACTTCTAACTTGATTGTAATACACACTCATGTCTCAAGTTGGATAGTAGGATGGGAATCTCGCAACATTACAAGCAGTGTCTGCCAGTTGAAATTCGACCCTCACAATTGGCCTAAACCTTTACTGAGTCAAAACCTACCGATTTTGACATAGGTGGACGGGCCACCTTTACTTAACCCGGAAAAGAAACATATATTTATATGTGTTTGATAAATAGCCCTAACAACAGGTTTGGAGTAAGGTTCATAATGTACATCCAGGATTTAACTGAACTGACTGCTATCTCTAACCCTATTTACCTATTGGCTCTGTCGGTAGGTCTGTCCATGACAGATGTATTTCACAGTATTACAAAGGTTCCTAACGACTGTGGCAATATTGTTATTGTTGAGCAATGCAATACAGAAATACATCAGGATAAAGAACAAAAGTAAAGACTAATCTGTGAAGGTCAAAAATCAGTTCAGATATGAATCTGTCTGGAATGTGGAGGATTATATAAGCAAGAATTTAGTTTGGATTTTTACAGAGACAACATCCAGTCAGGAAATTCTGCTGTTCGTGAGGACATGCATTTTCCAAATTTTATGATGAACAATATGAAAGGATTTTGTCTGACATAAGTAGACTGTTTCCAGTGAGGTACTGGGAACTTCTTCCCCATAAGTGAGTGGGGACTGGTTTTGCTAATTAGAGACTAGCAAAAATCCCTCAATTCAATGGGCATCATGTTGTCAACAAATTAAAATAGCTGATCATTTTGAGGATTGACTAAAATTTCAGTCCTTTTCTTCCAAACATAACTGCCTCCCAGCATCTCTCCTAATAAACTTTTATTTCTAATTTTTTTTTTTTTTAAGATCTATCACTATGTATCTAATGCAGACAGTGAGCTCTTTCTCAAAAGAGTACCCAGGGGCACTGGGATTCAGCACTGAATCAAGGTTCTCAGCAAAAGTAGGTCAATAATTTGATATTATTTCATTTTTTCCCTCTGCATCTGGTCATCTGACAACACTGAACCTCCTCTACTTCCTCTGCTTACCAGTTGTTTGATCTCTGTAATACCTAGCCTGTGACAACTTAATAATGTTATCCGTTGAATTAGCAGTTCAGTTCTAGCTCATGATATGAAGAATGCAAAGAAAATTGGTTTTGCCTCAGCTAATCTGGAATCTTCATGGCCGATGTGCATGCTCTGTTTCCCCTTCATGTGAATTTGGTTCTCCATGACTAACCTCATTAGGTGAGGGTTATGGGAACTCCACTTCTTCTTCCACATATCTGAACCAAATGTCTCTGTAAGCCCAAATGTACACAAGGTCTGTTATACTTCTCTCCCATTTATCTTATCCAGCTCATCACCTTAGGTGATATCTCTGGTAGGAGGAAATAACTCACCTGGGGATGGCTACTGTCCTCATACTGCCTCTGGCACCATCGAAATCCCACACCTGAATGGTAGCTGCAGCCTTCACTTTGAGCCTGCCTGACAATAACATAAACAGATATTATTTACAGATGATCATCACAGAATCATAGAATGGTTTGGATTGGAAGGGACCTTAAAGACCCTCTAGTTCCACCCCCCCTGCCATAGGCAAGGACACCTTCCACTAGAGCAGGTTGCTGAAAGCCCTGTCCAACCTGCCCTTGAACAATTCCAGGGAGGGCCCAGCCACAACTCTATGGGCAACCTGTTGCAGTGTCTCACCACCCTTACAGTAAAGAATTTCTACCTTATATCGAATCTAATTTTACCCTCTTTCAGTTTAAAACTGTCATGTCTCATCCTATCCCTACACTCCCTGATAAGAGTCCCTCCCCATCTTTCCTGTAGCCCCCTTTAAGTACTGGAAGGCCGCTATAAGGTCTCCCCAGAGCCTTCCCTTCTTCAACTCTCTCAGCCTGTCTTCATAGGGAAGGTGCTCCAGCTCCCTGATCATCTTCATGGCCTCCTCTGGACCTGCTGAGCAAGTCCATGTCTTTCTTATGTTGGGGGCCCCAGAGCTGGACACAGTGCTGCAGATGGGGTCTCACAAAAGCAGAGTAGAGGGGGAGAATCCCCTCCCTTGACCTGCTGGCTATGCTTCTCTTGATGCAGCCCAGGGTACAGTTGGCTTTCTGGGCTGCAAGCACACATTGCTGGCTCATAGTCAGTTCTCCATCAACTAATACCATGTACTCCGCAGAGCTGCTCTCAATCGACTCATCACCCAGCCTGTATTTGGGCTTGGGATTGTCTTGACCCATGTGCAGGACCTTGCACTTGGCCTTGTTGAACTGCATGAGGTTTGCACTGGCCCACCTCTCAAGCCTGTCCAGGTCCCTCTGGATGGCATCCCTTCCCTCCAGTGTGTCAACTTGACCTGGTTCAGCTAGGAGAGGGTTAAGTTTGCCCAGCAGAGAGAGAGGGGAAAGGGATCTCCAGCCGGGTTATTCATACCATGCTGAGGTCAGGTCCAGGGGCGGGAACTTTTTTTTCCTTGGTGGCTTTTGGTGATAGGAAGCACATGGCGGGTTTGTTCCGTGACCATTGTGGTATTTCTCTGTATATCTTTTGTCTTATTCACTGTTATTGCTGTTTATTGTGGTTATCATTGCTACTGTTGTTGTTCAGTTTGTTTATCACACTGCTGTATTAAATTTCTTCTTATTTTAACCCAGGTTTGTGCCTCACTGCCAGCCTGACTGGCTGAGGGTGGGGGAGGGGCAACGGCAACATGGTCTCTGGTCCCGGCAGGGATTAAACTACGCAACTGCACCACACAACTTGGTGTTGTCAATGAATTTGCTGATGGTGCTCTCAATCCCACCGTCCATGTCCCTGACAAAGACATTAAAGAGCGCCGATCCCAACACTGACCCCTGAGGAACACCACTCATCACTGCTCTCCATCCAGACATCGAGCTGTTGACTTCAACCCTTTGAGTGCAAACTTTGAGCCAATTCCTTATCCACTGAGTGGTCCATCCATCAAATCTACGTATTTCCAATTTAGAGGCAAGGATGTTGTGCAGAACAGTGTCAAAAGCTTTGCACAAGTCCAGAAGTATTATCATACATGACATTATAGAATTAAGCAGTACTCATTCATTAGTATAAGTAACTAATTCTGTCGCTACATATCCAATGTCAGCAGCAAATTGTTTGTTACAGCAAGACTCAGTGGTGAAATCAATGCTGAATCCCAGCTGAGTATCTCTCAGGAAATTGGCTATTTCATATCAAGTGTCTCATTTTCTCTTACTGCACTGAAATGAACCCACAAAAACCTAAAGATTGCTTGAGGATGCAACATGATTGGGATAGCTTCCAGCAGGTGTTTCATATCAAATCTTCAATATTCTGCCACTTTCTGTGCCCACCTAATTCCAATAAAGTCAATGCTATGGGGCATTTGCTAAGAAATGCAATGTCTGTGCAGTGTCTGCAGATCTAACTTATGTTAACTATGTGGTTTAAGCATGTAACAAAGCCAGGCATCAGATCTCTGCTCAGACTGTGTCACATTTAAAAATGGGAATTACTTTATTATTTTTAAATACTTCCAATGTCTGAGCTCAGTTTCTGCTGTAAGCTAGAGTGTGTTCTTTCTTGCTCAAAAGGAAGAGAGTTGTAAGAGTATCTGTTTTGTCATTCACCTCAAACATTTCCTACAGAGAAGGGTCACTTCAGTGTACTTCTGTGAAGCGAATTAAAGGGTCAGTAAGACAATTGTACTTGAATTTATAAATTCACACCAGAAATTTTCTAGTCACCCCTGCTAGAGTTTCTGGAATATTTGAATGGGTCTTGGAATACATCAGAATCACAACACTAGGCTCAGAATTCAGTAGTACAGACCACAAACATATAACACAGCTCTTCCTGTATGTGTCCAGGGCCACTGTTGCTTATTTTAATAAATAAATATTTTGCGCTCTTTTCCCTTCAGGTTCCATTCACCTAGGGAGAGAGCATGAGGTAGATATATCTTCTTTTTACTCCTCATCAACAACAAAACTGGATGTTACACAAGACATCATTTTGTCAGCAGAACTTTTATTTCTTGTGTTGCTAGTGGTCACTATTAATATTTAGGAATAATAATCCCTAATATTTAGGAATTTACTTTGCAAATTAAGTAGAATTTTGCATGTCCTCCAGACAAACTGTTTCATTAAAGGACAAGCATGTGTGCTAACCACCAAGCTCTACTATGCTTACCTGAGTTGAGATGTATTTGGCAAACTCTACTGCTTTGTAACTACAGTTGGCAAGCCTAACAATTGCCAAGCATGTTTACTGTAGAGAGTATTTACAACTTCCCCCATATCAAAACAGAAAGATCATTGTATGATCTGATCTAATCACCAAGCATAGCACAGATACAGAGCTTCCATCAGGAATTTCTACATTAAGTCTATAGTTGCCGTGTATCTATATAAAGTCAGTATTTCCCACATTTAGGCAGAACTCTTCAGTAAGATACAGAAAGTTTGAGAAATATTTTACAATATGATTTAATAAATATTGCATGATGAAAAATTAAGTCTCAATGAGAGAGCAGATAGAGCTAGTGTTATTGGGTAATGTTCAAAGCCCTAAAATAATATCACTTTCCTCTCCTCAACAAGGAAGAAAAGAGCAGACTCTGCAGCCTCTGGGGTGCCCAAAGTCAAGAGGATCTCCCACATGATGCTAAATGACAGAGATGCCTTTTTGCCTTTGACCACTAGAATTTGTAAACTCCTTCCTATCTCTACTGCCTGTGCAAATAGGTACTGGAAACACTGATTTTCACTGGAAAATCTAATGTACATTAAAAAAAAAATTAAAAACAAATTAAAAAAAAGTAATATTATTAGTGTATGAAATACCTGAATTTGTTTGTTATTAAAAGAGCCATATATTCAGTTTGTTACTAATTTTAATACTAACTTCAATACACACTTCATTGAAATCTTTGGTTTTCCAGTGCTCCTGGAGAGTAGTAGTGCATGACAGAGTTTAGTGCTGAACTCTTCAGGATCCTCAGGCTTTAAAGATAGTGTATTCAAGATGCTCTGTTTCCTCACCCAGGATCCCACCAAAAGACACTAAAACAAGAATTCCTGCATAGAGAGCTGTTTTCAGATTAAGGCCTTTTCCATTAATCTATCTAAAGGTCTGGAGAAGACTCGGAAGACAAACGTGGAGTAGTAAAAGAGTAATTTATTTTTTTGTTAATGTTATTATTAGATAGAACACAACAGCACGGGCTTTATTGATCACAGCCCATCCTGTAGCAAGCTATCAGCCTAGCAGTTGTATAATGGAGATGGTCTTGCATGCAAATTAAAATCATTTCATGACACCGAGAAAAACAATGAGAACCATTGTTTCCAGATAATTTATACAGCATCAAAGCATTCTTTTTCTTTTTTTATGAATTGAATTCACAGGAGATCTGTGAAAGTTGCCTGTCAGGTCAAAGGCTAGTGCTTTATCCACTTAATCATTCATCCCTGCTTGATTAATAGACTTTTTAAACAGAATCATATATTAATAATGTAGGCTTTAACTGCGCATCTCGATCAAAGAGCGGATTTTAGAAGTTGATTGGTTTGTATCCTCTAGGCCTGTGATAAATGTCTAGAGATTTCTTGTAATCATTTTTTTCTTGTCATTTTTTCATTCTGATATTCATTTCTCTCTTCAACATTGTCACATGAATATTTAAAACAAGAAATATAATCAGTTCAGTGCTTTTTCTCCAGTGCCAGGATCATAAAGAGAATAACTGTCATTCAGTACAAAATCTCTTTATTACAATATTTAAGCACTGTCTATTTTACCTTGCTTGTTGGGAAACATGAGCTGAAAATCTTATATGCATCGATAGGATTATGAATTGAAAGTTACTCTTCAGATTTAGGGTTAAGTGGGATTAAGGAGAAGAAAACTCAAAGATAAAAAGAATATGGAGTTAATAATTAGAGGGGTTTAGAAAATGTGCAGAAAAACCATTATTGTTGGAAAGTGCAGTCTCATCCACTGATGAGACTGAAAAGTTTTCTGGGAAGAGGTCAGTGTTTAGAAAATTCAGATCTATTCAGTTGAATTAACTCAAAATGAACTTTTTTTGTTTGCTTTGAGACTACTTCTTATTTCCAAATCTTATTTTCTTAAGAAGTCAAAATCTGAGGTGGGATGACTTCAACTGAAAGGAAATACTGTAACTGAGCTAAATATTTTTTAAAACTTTTAATGAACACTTCCATTTCTTTCGTTTTTTGTTACAGCTTGGAACAAAAGCAGTACTCTGGGTGAAAGAATAATCCCAGTACCAAGCTTCCTGTAACATTCCTTTTAGTAACAGTTACATACTTATTTAGGATGTAAAATTCCATATCTTAACAAATGCCTAAACAAAAAAAGGATTACTTTCCTGATGCCCCGATCTTCAAAGATCAAGGAAGGTTACCTGATATTACTCATATGTGAATAATCGTCTCTCATTTCTAATTCATAGTGTATGTCTCTGCTGCCAGTTCTGCACTTGTTGCATCTATAAAAGTTCCAGTGATACCAAAAGTATTTCCAAATAATTGTCTCTCATTTAAGGCATGGATTTACAGAGATTTTCATGCTTTGCTTTGCACATTGTTTTTTTCTGATCCAGCCCTGCCAGCCACATGCACTGTGCTGCCGATGAGCCAACTGTCCAGCTCCATCCTCAGCGTGAGATCACAGAGCAGTATGAAATGGGACCTCACATCTGACTATACCACAGTATATGAGATATGTGATGCAGAAAGGATCCTTGTTGCATGGTTTCTGCCTCTACGCAATTCCTAGGAGGGAATTTAAAGCTATTCAAAGCCCAAAACTGGCCATTAATGAAGACACTAAAAAATAAAATATTTGATAGTGCCTTGGTTTGGAATAGAAACTGGATTCTACAGAATTGTATGGGTGTGCTCTCCAGCAGCAATATTTCTCTTCATTCTCTTCTACATTGCTGAGAACTTGGAAATCCATGTACTTACCAGACTGAATTGCATCCTAGAGGATCCCCTTACACAGCTATAAATCTTGTTATCTCCAGAAAACATCTCCAACTTGAATTTAGCATAATTAAACAAGGAGATTTTGATCCAGTTACTTTGTGTTGTTGCAGGTGTCACAGTGTCACTGATTTCAGTAGGAGAGAGAAGTTGCCATCACCCTACATGGTCTCCTTTCCTCATTCCCTCTGTCTGCAAGTAGTAGTTGCTGGCTGGCCAGAGTAAGTTATGAGATGTTTGACTGTGTATGGAAAGACGTAAGTCTCTAAAGCATGTAGACAAGTTCTGCATAGCTGAGAAGCAAGGGAGTCCCTCTCAAGAGTGGGATAAGAGCCCCTCCAAGTGAACCTCGACCACGAGACAATGCAGATGGGCAATAAGGTACTCCAGACTGAGACAGTGTCATGGAGTAGATCTTAGAAGTGCTAAAAGACTCATCTAAATATTGTCACT